GCCTAACAAGCAATATAACGTGCCCTGATTCCCGAACCTCGCTTCGACTAACCAAATATTAGTGTGTAATAAAGAGAAACCTCTGTAATCCTTAACAAAACAGTAAATCGATCCATTTAAATGAATCTTTCGATAAAAAGAACCTCCTACCACTTATAAGAAAAAAAATTACTCCTTAATCTACAAGACTCTCTCGAAAGTCCATTTTCAAAGTCTCCCCACTTCTGCTGAGGAAAAGAGTAATTAAAATTAAAACAAGGTAAGATATTACAGAGGTGGAAATAGAGGAATTGAAAATATGGGAAAAATTAAGGAAAATGTCTACTTTTGAGAGACTCCTCGTAGTCTCCTCATTTCCATCGAGTGAAAAAGCAAATAAAAAAGGAAGGGAGATATTAGAAAAGTGAAGAAAAAGGAATACGAAAACATAGGAAAAATTAAGAGAAAATCTCCTCACAAGAGTCTCAAATGTCTCCTCATTTGCATCGAGATATTAGAAAACCAAGGACAGAGAAACACAATCATAAAATTTTTTAAAAATGTCTCCTTCAAAGACTACAAAACTCCTCACAAAGTTCCATTTTCAATCGCACACGCTCAAAGTCTCCTCGTTTCCATTGAGCAAAAGAAAGAAGGCAGACACAGAGAGAGGAAGATAAAAAGTTGCGATATTACGATTGGAATCTCGGTAGAGAAAAGATTCATTGAACAAACCGGCGACCGGGAGGGAGGGTCGGGGATGTACGGGGTGTCGAGAAAACGCAGGACTCAAAGGTAAACGCAGAGAGGATGAAAGGAGAGGAAGAAGTAAATGAGCGAGAGCGGTGGCGGCAGCGTATACTAAGCACTAATATTACATCTCTGGACTGACAGACGTGCGGACTTTAAAACCCAAGACTAACAAACAGTTAGCAGTCATCCGGTCTTCTTGTTTTTATATTCTTATGCCCGCCCATAGAGCGCACGCACCGCTCGCTCACTCGCCACGATGCTTCGTTACTTTTCGTGTCGTCGAAACGCCAGTTAAACGTGCCCATGAATTTCCTGTCGATCTTCGAGGAACCGGCTTCTATATTTTACCCTTCGTTGTATTTCTCCACCCTTCTACCATCCTTGGACGAACGTTTATCGTCGGACACGACCGATACAAATGCTGTTCGCCGTGTCCTTTATCGGTGGACTGTTTCATCTTTGATAGTTAGAAGTTGTAGACTTTCCTTTTATCTTTGCGATAAAGTACTTGCACTGTCGCTAAGAAGTTTCAGACCACTTGCATTCCAGGGAACAGGAGAATTTTCGTAGAAAAGTTAGAGACTTGGAAATACAGAAAATCTGTGAAAAATTGACCAGTGGTCTCAAAAGCAATCACTTGAATTTCTCACCTGTGAAATATCGATTTTAGACTCCAACGGAGACATTCTTCGCGAAGCACCTGATTCTCAGAAACGAGAAACTTCCGAGGATCAATTATAAAAAGATAAAAAAATTCTATTTTCCTCGACAAGTAAGAGAAAGTGAACTTCAACCCTGCGAAAACTATAATTTTACACCCTCAAGAGTGATCAAGAACAGCTTACCAAAAAGTACAACGCGAAACTCCAAATCGACTCAACAGGAAGACGCAATCCGCTTCGTACTTGAACGACTCTTCGACGAAATCTCTCCGAGATCTCACGATCTAACGCCTCGATCGTTTACACTCGATCCAACGAGGGCTATTTATAAGACAGCTCGCGAGTTAACCGTGAGATAAAGAACGACTATAGAGCGGTCGTCCTAACGACTTTGCACAATAGAAAAGTGCTTCGAACGATTATCCAGAGAGAAACTGTCTCCGACAGCGGGACGATTGGCGAATGGAAAAGAAATATCGAAGAAGCTTCGAATAAGAAAGCGAATATCGCGAAACGACAGAGAAGGGTGGAAATAGGGTGGTGGCTGGTCTGGTTCGAGGGTAACTGAAATAAGGTATAATTTTCCGCGCCAATTAAGGTCTTTAAGAATTGCGACCAATTGAGCGGGAGGGTCAGGGAGCTTAGCTCTAGGGGAGAGATGTACCGACATCCCCCTATAATTTATTATTGATTAGATCGAATCGAGAAAAAGAGAGCCTCGTCGGAGACGTGGTCGTCTTCGAGATCGTTTCTCAGATGGTACTCGTTCCCTCTTCCTTCAACCTGCATGCCAACTGCGAGCATCGAATGGCTAATAGGCCAATGGCGGACGCCGTTTTTCCGGTTCGATTACTCGCCACCTGCTAATTGCCGATTGCCTCCTCGTAGATCGATTCTGTGGAAAAAAGATTGCCACGAGGGTGACACTTCTTGGGGAGGAGATGCGATCGTGGTCGCTTTACAATTGATCTAGAGCGATTCTTTTTCGAGGGCTCGTTTCGCGTAGACACTTGAGTCTAAGTAATTCTTGGCTTTTCGAACATATCGATCTCGTATTTCAGCGACTGAGAATAATTCACAGCTTTTGGAAGAGTCAATCTCGAATTTCAGTGTCTGAGAATAATTTACTTGATTTCTGTGTAAAGTAGAAGACACTGTAGAAAAGATTTCGTATGAAAGTGTCACTTCTGGAGGAGAAAATGGACTCCGCATGCTTCACAATTAATTCCCTCGGATTTTTCGGGATAGTAATTTCTCATCAATCTCGTATTTCAGTGTCTGAGAATAATTTACTTGATTTCTGTGTAAAGTAGAAGATACTATAGAAAAGATTTTCCATGAAAGTGTCACTTCTGGAAAAGAAAATGGGATTTTTATTTTTTCTACATTAATTTTTCAAGGATACTAATCTCACGTTTCGCTGTCTAAGAGTAACTTTGGTAATATTTAAACGAAGCGAAGAGGCCTGAGAAAATTTCGAGAGAGACGAAGAGAATCCCGAAAAATGCGACACTTTCGATTTTCCAAGAATTCCAAGAAATACGGAGGAAGGAACTACGTGGAATTATTTCCTCGTCGATATCTGGAACGCGCGAGGCCATCATCGGATCAAGTGAGGCGTGATCCACGCTCCTGTGGTTCACACTTAATTAAACCGCCATAGGAACTCGGCTGACAGCACGTGGCGGACAATGCTGCAAGTCTTTAGCGGCGATTGTTATGTAAAGCACACCCTATATATGCACCGCTCGGCTCCTCTCGACTCGATACGAGGACGGGAGAAGTAGTACGTAGAACTCGTGCAATCGTCTCTATATCTACCTACATCACGGACCAAGGAACTTTTTCAAAGACACTATTCCACAGCCTCGGGATAGCGAGGATTTCTCACCTGTGAAATACCGACTTTAGACTCCACCGGAGAGATGCTCCCTCCAAGTAGTTCTCAGAGACGTGAAACTTTCCTCGATCTATTGTAAGAACTGTAACATTTTAATTTTAGGGTGCACGAGTCTCGTACACTTTGGGAACTTTCTAAGTGAAGTTGATTTTCGGAGGTTCTATTGGACGTTAACCCTTTCGAGTACCACTTGAGTAGTCGAACAAAAATTGATCACAGATAATTGATAGATAAATAAGAAATTAAAAAAAAGATAACGTGGTCGCGAAAGGGTTACATATAGAAGTTGGGGTTCACGTATCTTTAATAAATCTCTCGTGGATTTTACACGCAAAGTAGAAATTAGGCGAGATAAATTCTTCTCCTAAGTATTTCTGAGTTTCCGTTTATAAGACTTCGTTTTAAAAATGACCATTTCTTACCTAATTCTGTACTAATCCACTCTCCTCCATCTCTCAATAAAACCACTCACAAGCTCATCTCCGTTTAATTCCCCGAAAGTCCACCTACAATCTTCTCTCCCTACAACACAACCTCGAACAAACCCTCCAAACACGAAACCAGCCGATTCATCAGAATTCAATCGAAACACGTTGAAAATTTGCACGAAAGCAGCGACAATAAGCGAATACTTGGAGAAAGTAGCGCAACTCTCTCGATACCTGAAAGAGTCTCGTTCATCGCACCCCTTCGCCACCCCGTTCGCCGCGCGACCGTGAAAAAAAGAGCAGCGGAGGATCCCACTCCGACAGCTCTGTCGCTCGTCACCTCGAGGCTGAGAGCTTCTAGGAAACGTGGATTGGCTCCGTGTGGAAAGCGACGACGCGGCGAGAGCCTTCGATTGGTCGTAGGGCGAGGCTTGCGTCGTGACGGAAGCGTCGTCGGGCATCCCGCGTCCAACCTGGACCACGTCTAAAGCTCCACCTACGCGACGACCCGCGAAACTCGAAATTTTTCGAAGTTCCCACCTCGTCTCACCGTCGTTCGAAGCGCGAGGGATGAAGATGGCAAGCGGAAGATTCGAGAGAAAGAGTTGTAACAAGCCGACCGCTTTCGTTTCGCGGTGGTTTTTAGGGACGGTAGACTTTTCTATCGGTAGAAATCTGTTGTTTCGGTTGTGTCGTTTTAGAATTTCTTTCGTTGAATTCAAAGGGTCTATCGGGGCAATTGTCAAATGTCACTCATTTTAGAGAATTAAAAGAGCACGCAAGATTTCTTCTTACACAAATGTACAGATTCACGATTAATTTTGCTTCGGCTCATTTTGTGGGATCAAAAAAGCAACCGAAATTCGAAGGAAAAGCGTACAGAATTACAATTCAACCCTCTAAGTCTCACATCGTTCATTCCAAACAAATCTGAAGAAAATTTCACTCATTCAACCTGAAAGAAGACCATCGTGCCATTAAAGGATTATCCCACAAAATATCATGCACCCTAATTACCAATACCCAGAAAACAAAAACCCTCCAAGTCCCTCACGTCGTTTATTCCAAACGAATCTGAACAAAATTTCACTCGTTCGATCTGAAAGACGACAGAAGAACAACTAATCAAGGATCATTTATCTATCGCAGAAACTATCACGCACCCTAACTACCAATCCCCAAGAAAGCAACGAAACAAAAATTCAACCCTCGAAAGTATTAATCAGCCGTTGACCCGGAAGGACAATTTCACTTCCTGTTTCACTCGAGCCAGTCAGACACACGAAGGATCCTTTAAGAGGCAGCGAGAAGGCGGTAGGTCCTGAGCCAGAAAATCCGTGGACGAGAGTGGAGGGATGTTTAGAGCTGGTGGGGGTGGCTGGCATAGAAGGGGAAGATGGCGGGCGGCAGGGGCGTAGGAGCGAGGGAGGGAGGCGAAGTGGCCGCGGACTAATTCGAAAAATAAGTCTCCACAAGCGACAAGCACACTTGACCGAAGCACGCTCGCCGCGGAAGGGTGCACACACGCGGCCCTCTCGAGTGCACGCGAGTGACAATTAATAAACGCGACGCGGATTCCACCAACGGACGATCTTCGCGTAACCCGCGCCAGTCGAGCTGCGACTACGATCGAACGTGGACTTGGCGTAATCGTACCGATACTCTCGCGATCGAGACCTCTTTTTTCTCGTTGGAAAGAAACACTCGTTCGGATGGATCGTTGTTGAAGAGTAAAGGGTTGGAAAGTGGTGGAAGATGTCGAGGAAGTATCGTTGCCTATGAAAGTGAAGGGTGTGGAATTGTGGAGGATGGAAGAGATTAAATCGTCGGACTTGTGAGAGCTCGAGAGATAGAGCACGGTGAATAGAAGAGAAGAGGATTTTAATCAACCGAGATCAAGAGATAGAACTGTGTTTCTTTCTTGTCGGATCGAGATCGTCAGAGGGAGAGAGAAGAATGTCGGATATTATGGAAGATGACAAGAGGAGCGAAGCTTCGCCGAAACCGTCTCAATTAACTCCCTTCAGCATCGCAGACATACTGAGCAGAAGAACTTCTTACACCGAGCGACGATCCTCGGAGTCGGAGGAGGCTCATGGTGCAGCGTCGTTCCCGAAGAAGCCTAATCAGAGGAGCTACGATTGCTCGGAGAACGAGCACAGAGAGAGTCAATTGGAGGATCACAATCAGATGGCCAGATTCTCTAGGCTAGCCTCGCCTGATTTGAGCGTAGCTCGAGAACTGGATATCTTGACGAGGAACCTGGTTCACGCGAATATTTCCAACTTTGGGACCATTCCACACCTGGCGCAAGGGACGTTCAAGCATCTGGAGAGTTTGGGGAACATGGGCGGTTACCAGCCGGTGAAGGAGTCCAGGGAATCCTCGCAGAGGCAGCAGGACGAAGCTTTGGACATGAGCAAGAACAAATACTTGGGTAAGTGAAGGGAGGATAATCGCGTTAGAATGAAAATAGAATTTTCCAGTTAATTCAGCAAACGAAATTCGCCCGACGTGAGAAACGAGGGGGCTAACTAGAGGTAGAAATTACGAGGCAAGCAATCGCGCACCGTCTATCGATGGTGATAACGAAAGATAGAGGTGAATGAGCGTGGATAGATAGAAAGAGAGAGAGAGAGGCAAGGAAGGTCCACTTAGGAAATCTCGTGTGGCATCCTCGAGGCCGCTCTCCCTTCTGGGCGATCGTGTGTCTGCCACGAGGATGCGATGCTTAAGAGATCATTTAGGCCCCCGGGCGTATATCCTTGTAACAGGCGAGCTTTTCAAGGGTTTTTTAAGTTAACCCGAGCGCAGATAACGTGATCGAATGTAATTTTAGTAGCATAAGTGGGTGCTCGACTACGGCAGACGTCACAAGTGGCCCCGGCCACTCTGCTTCTTGCACTTGTTCGATCCCTGGCCACACTGTTGCTCTGTCTTTCGATCTCTCCACTCTCTGCGATCCTCGTACGCAAAAACATATTTAGATCAAGGTTACCCATATTAATTCCGAAGAAACACACACTTTTTCCTCATATCACCATCTTCCTGCTCGTCGTACGTACCAACCAGATGAAATTGCCACAGTACGGAGGTGCTGTAGAAGGGATTGAAGTTTCGATTCGCGAGGAATCGTGGACAATTGAAAGTGACGCCTGTGGCGGGGGAGGGGAGGGGGGGGACAACAAGGAACCGGCAATTAAGTAATTCGTCTCTGTTACCTGACGATTCCCTGGCTTTTTCACCACTCTCGAGGGTGAAGAAGAGAGCAGGCACGAGCTGGCACCGTTTCAAGGCTCACTCACCAAATTACCAATCCCAAAGCCGCCGTGCTTGGAAATCACTTAATACGGTAATGGACGTGAATCATAAAATTTCACCGTTTGATAGAATTTGCCTAACGTCGTTTATCTGTACACGACTTACAAAGAATTTCATTAAGAGGATAGAGATCGTAGCGACGATCTCTCTCTCCCTCGCGCAGCAAAGGGATAATGTTTCGTTCGAGCACACGTCTCACGGTCCATATCAATTTATTTGAAAACGACGAGGCTGTAGTATTACAGTAGTAAGGTGGACACGAAGGGTCATCTTCTCCGATGTAATCGGAGTGAGAGCAAACGGCACTTGCTGCTCCTCGAACACTCTCGATGTAGGACGGCGCGGTACGAGGATGTTTGACGAGCGTCAGAGGAGGGACGCATTAGCTGGACGGGATGGCATAGAGTTGACGTCGAAAGTGATCAAATATAGATCTCTCTAAATGCTTCGAGTCCCCCCATCATCGTGGGCCGGCCACGGTGCCGATAAACATTGACGCAGGACCACGTACGAAATAATTATGATGTCACACGAGCGTGTTTTTCGCGGAGAGAAAAACCCATCGTATTTTTTTTCTCGAGTTTGGACTCGCTTTGTTGGAAACCAAGTGCTTCCCGTTCTTTGGAGAACCTCGGAGAACTTCGATACTTTTTACACGTTTTCCACTCCATTTTTTAGTTCTCGTGGTCGCTTTACTCGTCGCGCAATTTTCAATTTATAATCCATTTGTTTAATTCACCCGCTTCTTTTAGTCTTTGAATTTTGAAGATTATCTTCGGTTTGATCGTTGATTAGATACTCTGTTTTATTCGATCTGTGGTTAAATAACTGATGGAAGAAATTCTTAAAAATTAGGCTCAATTCGCAATTTTCACTATCCAATGAACCCTAATCTTGCTCCTGGCATAAGAAGCTTAAGCTTGTGTCTTGTTACAGTAGAGATACCAAGGAGGAACCAGGAAATGCAAGGTTCGGTTGAAAAATTTTCTAATCGCCACATTTTTCACGGCAACTGAAAATATTCCGTACCACTGACAAAATCGATCAAGTGTGAATCGTGTAGAAAAGGGTCGATACTTCCTCCTCGTACACCCCCTACCCTCTAAATTAATTCGCAAACGTAAGATCGAAAGCACGCAATATACTCGTGCGGCCGGCATTTAAATTACCCAAAGAATACCATTTCAAGCCCATTGTACAACCAAACAACGGTGCAGATTTCCAGCTAAAAGTGATTCTCCGGGCGTCTGGCGTGGAAACAAAGTGACCGTCGGTAAACGATTGGAATATTCGACGGGAGCGTAGGAACGCGATTGCACTCCACTGCAACCGGTTAAACTTAGAGGAGAATTACCGTGGAACAGCAGCGTAAACATGTCGGAGTAGCGAGTGCACGTGTTAATGTTTGAACGAGACATCAAAAGCGGGCGGAACTCTCTCCGATCGTTCGCCGCTCCTATGGCTGCTGTCCGTGGATGGTTACTCGTTCGTTTCCTTCCACCTTACCCCACCTACCTCCCTCTCGAAACGTTTGATTTATGATCGCGGTAGATCATCCATTCCCGATCTTACACGTTTGTTTGCACGCCAATCCCTCGCAAGCCTCCCACGAGAAAAACAGAAGAATTTCTTTCTCTTCTGTAACTGAACTTTTATCGCCCGATCGTTTCACCGCCGATCGATACTTCTCTCTTTCTCGCGAATATTTGTAGAAGTAAATCGCGAGGCGTAATTACCCGTGATTGTTACAGAGGACGGCGAAGAGGATATGTACGAGACGCAGAATCACGGACAAAATCTTCAGAGTAGAAAGAAACGAAGCAGGGCGGCGTTCTCGCATGCACAGGTTTACGAGCTCGAGAGACGATTCGCCGCGCAGAAATATTTGTCGGGACCGGAACGAGCGGATCTAGCGCGAGGACTCAAGCTGACGGAGACGCAAGTGAAGATTTGGTTCCAAAACAGACGGTATTGAGATTTTTTCTTGGCTTTTGTGTTTAACGTTGATCGCTACGCGTTCACTCGGCGTGTCGGAGATTCGTTTAGTTTGCTACTTAACTTCAGCAGCTGGGGAAGATTGAGAAGTAAGAGTAGAGGAATTGTTAAATCTTTGGTCGAAAAGTTTTTGTTTAATATCAGAATTATAGAATTATTCGATTATTCTGTTTCGCAGAAACTTTACATTGCAAGCAATGTATCGGACTTTATGTTCAATTCAAAGGCCTCGAATTTAATATTAGCAAAATAAATCGCAATTCTTCTAATGGCTACCTAAATCAAATCACTTGCAACAACTCGAGCAGATATCAATTTGTTGCAAGAAATCATTTCCAAATTGTCCAAATTTCTCAAATTAAATTCAATACCGATAAATCACTATTCTTCCAATGACCACCTTAATCAAATCATATCAAATCACCTGCAACGACTCGATCTGACATCACTTCACAATAATTTCCAAATTTCTCAAATTGAATTCAACATCGATAAATCACTATTCTTTCAATGACATGCAACAATTCAATTAAACACCAACTCACTGCAAAAAATAATCTCCTTTCTCAAGTTAAATTGAACATCGATAAATTACTATTCTTCCAATGACCACATCGACCAAATCACCTATAACGCAAGGGTTACAATCTGGGTGAAGCGCTTTATTTCTCACAATTTATCTTCAATCTCTCCCTCGACGCCGAGACAATCTGCCCATCGGGGGCAACAAATGACGATCGGGCCTCGTTTTTGGCGCCCAATAATCCTCCCAGAGCCTGTTACCCAAACAATAGATGCCACCTCAATCTTTACATACTACTAAATGCAGAATATGCAGGGCATAGATTAGTCATAGTTTATAAGAGGATAGGGTTAAGGTAATAGATATAAGATTCAACAGACTGAAACAAAAGTTCCTAATCAGTGCAATTTACCATAGGAGTACAAATAACTGTTACGTGAATATAATTTTTATAAATTTTTACATATGTACACAATAAAGAGAAGCACGCATAGGCCCGAGACGGGCCTCAAGTGTATTTAAAAAAAAAAAACAGAAAATCTTTACATACTGTTTTACCAGCCGAGTCAAAATGACTTTCCAAAAATGAATTTTTATGCAACTGAACCGTGATTGGAAACTTCGATTCATATCCATTCAAATAGAAGCGTACATGTAGAAAATAAATTCGGATAATACCGACCAGCATTGAACATTCACGTTTTTTCGAAAGATGCTAATTTCGACCCGGTCGGTAATTCTAGTGTTAAATACCAACTCACTGCAAGAAATAATTTCCAAATGACAAATGATTATTTCAAATCACCTGCGACACCTCAATCGTTCACCAGCTCCTTGCAAGAAATTTTCCCAAATTGCTCGGAACATCGGCGAACGGTGAAATTAATTTGCAACGAATCGCTGCTTCAGGTACAAGACCAAGAGGCGGCAACAGCAGGAACTGGGCGCGTTGGTTAATTCCGGAAACGCGAGGCGCGTGGCAGTGCGAGTTCTCGTGCATCCGGACGAGCATCTGAGGGGACTACCACTTCGTGGTTCCGGCCAACTTCCCGGGCAAATGTCTGCCCCGCAAATTCATCCGGCGAACAAAGCTCTCGGCGGTTTCCCGTACTACTGTCTCCCCTATCATCCCTTGCTCTGCCCGCCCCTTCACTCCACTCATATTCAGGTGCAAAACACGATCGCGCCGGACCTCGATCCGAGTCAACTGGCCAAATTGAACGACGACAAGTAAAGCGGAAATTTTACCCGGTGATTTTCCCTTCGAATTGCAAATTAAAGCGGCACCGATGGGTTCGCCAGTCGTGAACCGGGGTATAGATTTAACCCTTGCACGGAATTTCCTTCATTTTTTACGACAAATTCAACCAACAACTTTCTTTTCACGTGTGTGTTCACCTGTTAATTGGGGGAGGCGAGGTGACTGGTTGATTAATAGTTAGAACGCAATAGTTTATTTATCGAGAGATTATTTTTCACTCATTTTTAAGGATGAGATGGAAAGACTTCTGTTCCAGAGGAGAACCCAGTTGACAGGCGGACAGACACTTCTTCGTATTCTTGTGTAAATAATAATGGTTGATGATGATCAGAGAAGTAAACTTTTATCCATATTTTCTTAAATAATTCTCGCGTGAGATAATATTTCGCAATGATTTCAGCACAGTTGTGCTGCAAATATCTCTTGAAATTAGGTAAAATTGCAAACGAGATCTTTGACAAGTCTCAGTAACGCGCTAAACTTTTACGCGAATTATTTCGATAAGAATCTATCGAGGATCTTTAATTTGCGAGTAAAGATTGACTCGATCGACTGCAGAGAAGAAGAACGTTTACTGATAGAAATGTAATACAAAACAACGGAGGCGAAAACCCGAGTGAAAAACAGGTACTCAGTCCGGGGTTGTCGCACGACTGCTTAAAATGCGGAGAAACATTTGTTATATACTTGGATCGGAAGTCAGCGGGCCCATGGCTTTTATGGGCCTACGTTAAGGAGAGAAAGATTCAAAATATAATCTATTCTCAATAAAATCTAATAAAATACGAAAATTCTGAACACTTCAACGATCCACAGATTCACAAATTCCGTACAAGGGTTAACAAGTTGTTACTTCTCAATGACAAAATTCCTTCAACGACGTTTCTTCCGATTAACTATCAACTTTTGCGAAAGTTCGATTACTTCCTCGATTCTTACGTTATCGGTAATATTCCAGTTGATCGAGGTAAGGGGGGAAATTTCGAAAGGGTGGTTGTTTGTATAGTTTTATTTTAGCATCGTTAAACTAGTCTATTTCTATGTCTATGCGTGGAAATCGAAGGAACTGTTCTCGACTGAAGTTACTACTCGGATAGTAACAGTACGTTAATTACACTGTAAATGATAATAGCCGAGACTTCCGTGTTTCGTTCTGTCTCCGTACGGACAATACTGTTAACGTTCGTAATTACAATCACACGCGCACGCTCACACACAAACACAAACACAGAGGCAAGTCTACTTGGAAGTTGACGATTAAAGAGCACGGTATCGATTAATCTGTCCAAGTATGTAGTGTCCAAGCAGTCCACTCGTGTACGCGTTAATTATTAATTTACTTATAAATATATCCCAGTCTAGGAATGAGAAATCGTGTAAATTAGCGTGTAAATAACTGTATAAAAATGCAATCCTCAATCGAACGGTATCGGTGGAGTATTTATATTTATTCCGAGGCCACACGTAACGATCAAAATTCCTGCCACGTGAAATTTAGTTTATACATTCTACACGCTTGTTCGTAAATTTTTTTCTTGCGAATTTGTGCGAAGCGAAGTTTTTCAAAATTTGACGAAGTTGTGTTATTTCAACCCTTCGTAGGCAAACCGAGCCGTTTACATTTTCTTACTGTTCCAGGCTTTCGAAAAATCTGAAAAAATTCCGAGACACTTGTCGAATTAAATTTTGCAAAGATTCTCGATAGAAATAAAAATTCTCTTCGATGGAACACGGGGGTGAAATTTCGCTTGGGTCGTTAATGGCCCAGATTGCCTACGAAGGGTTAAAAGTATAATTTCACAAAAGTTTCCAAAAGGAACATGCACAGATGTTCGAATTAAAAAGTAACGTGGCAGCTGATTGCGTTGAATTTTCCAAGATTCCAAGAAATATGCGAGAGAGAATGTCTATGAAATAGATGGAATAAAATGAGGAAAAAAAGAAGAAAGCTAGAATAGCGAGCACGTGCAATAATGTCGATCAACACTGATACCGATTAATCGTAATCGCTCTATTGATAAGCGCGCGCCAGGTTAAAGCTCCAATTGTTTCTGCGTACCTATGTGATCGCTCGCAGATCTATTCGAAATATACGTGGTTCATTAAAAGGAAAAAAGAGAAAAAAAATAAAACAGAACAAGTGTTTCTTCTTGCCTGCAAATCCTCCCCCTGAAGAGGCCCTCTCTCGAACGTCTACACGTCACAGCAACGCGAGATCGTAAAAACTTGACGTGCTTGACCCGAGACATCTTCCAAAGAAGTAGCTCCTTTTTTCTGGGCCCGCTGCTGCTTGCGAGCCCTTTTACATTTCGTGTTCCTGAGAGCGACCTTAAAACGTCGGCATTTTTGCTTTTTTCTTCCTTTTTTTCTTCGTCTGGAACGAGGGTCCACAGTCAACCGTTTAATTGTTGGAAAAATAAAGAAACACTGGAGATGAGTTACCGGGGAAAATTATGGAGCACTGGAGTGGAACTCGAGGGAATTCTGGAAATTCGGAATGGTCGCGGAGTTTAAAATCTCAGTGAATTGTGGAGAGAGTTTTTTGGAAGTGGAGAATTTTCAGTTTGGAACGCTTCGAAGATTGGAAATTGTTGAGGAATATTCGAAACGTGGGATATCACTTTTCTGAGGAATTTTTAAAGATCCGAAGGTACAGAAAATTCGTTTGGGATGATTTTGAGAGGGCACTTGTCCATTTTGGAAACTTCCGAATCTTTGAGAATCTAAAATCTTGCAGAATGAAAGACAGAATATTTTTGAGATTTTGAAAAATACTTAGAGCGTGAACAATTTCCTATTTTTAAAGCTCTGAGGAATATTCCAAGCGTGGAATATCATTTTCACGAGAAATTTTCAAGCTCCGAAAATACAGAAAATCCTCGGTCATTCTGAAAACTACCGAATATTTCACAATCCAAAGTCTCGCTAAATCACAGGCGGAAATGCTTAAAAACCTAAAATTCTAGTCTTCCAAAGTGAAAAATTTTCAAATGGAAAATCTCTGAAAATACAGAAAATCCTCGGTCATCCTGAAAACTACCAAAATCTCACTAAATTACAGACCAAAATTCTAAATAAACCTGAAATTCTACTCTTCCAAATCCAAAAATTTAATTAGAAAATATACAAAAAAAATCTCGAAAAGCAGAAAATCCTCTGACATTCTAAAAACTACCAAATCCTTTAAAATCACTGAATCCCAAACCAAAATTCTTAAAAACCTGAAATTCCACTCTTCCAAAATCATAAATTTCCAATAAAAAACTCTCTAAAAATTCCTAAAGAATACTCAAAGCGTAAAATACAATTTTTCCAAGAAACTCTCAAATCTCGAAAAGCAGAAAATCCTCTGACATTCTAAAAACTACCAAATCCTTTAAAATCACTGAATCCCAAACCAAAATTCTTAAAAACCTGAAATTCCACTCTTCCAAAATCATAAATTTCCAATAAAAAACTCTCTAAAAATTCCTAAAGAATACTCAAAGCGTAAAATACAATTTTTCCAAGAAACTCTCAAATCTCGAAAAGCAGAAAATCCTCTGACATTCTAAAAACTACCAAATCCTTTAAAATCACTGAATCCCAAACCAAAATTCTTAAAAACCTGAAATTCCACTCTTCCAAAATCATAAATTTCCAATAAAAAACTCTCTAAAAATTCCTAAAGAATACTCAAAGCGTAAAATACAATTTTTCCAAGAAACTCTCAAATCTCGAAAAGCAGAAAATCCTCTGACATTCTAAAAACTACCAAATCCTTTAAAATCACTGAATCCCAAACCAAAATTCTTAAAAACCTGAAATTCCACTCTTCCAAAATCATAAATTTCCAATAAAAAACTCTCTAAAAATTCCTAAAGAATACTCAAAGCGTAAAATACAATTTTTCCAAGAAACTCTCAAATCTCGAAAAGCAGAAAATCCTCTGACATTCTAAAAACTACCAAATCCTTCAAAATCGCTAAATCCCAAACCAAAATTCTTAAAAACCTGAAATTCCACTCTTCCAAAATCAAAAACTTCCAATAAAAAAATCTCCAAAAATTCCTAAAGAATACTCAAAGCGTAAAATACAATTTTTCCAAGAAACTCTTAAATCTCCAAAAGCAGAAAATCGCGTTGCAAAACGACATTTGGAAGGATTTGAAGAGGAACACTCTGTCAGCCCGAGCAGAATGGTTCGATCGTTGGATAGTGGTCGTGAGTGCGGTACAAGTGTCGATTAAACGAGCCTGGCGAAAAATCGACGCGCTATCAGTCCACGAATGGAGGCGACTTTCCCATAAGAGTTTTAATAGCCCCGTCTGGGTGGGCCCGACAGACATCAGATATGTTTATTCAGACGCGGAGACGAGCAGGCTTAACCGACGGTCGAGGGAAAAAGGCTAGATCTGACACTCATCTGTTATAAACAAAGGAGTTACATTATCCTCGTCGAAAGGGCCTTTGCGCCTCGTTCACCAGATCTGCATAAAAAGGAGTGCGCGTTCAAAGGGACGCCGCCTTAACTCTGCCTCCTCGTTAAACTCGCGTGTCTTCATTAATTTCTAACGACTTTTAAATTCGAACTAGGTACTTCTTACCTTCTAATCGTATACCATTTCTTCTTCGTATAATTTCATTAATATACTCCTTCGTTCAGCGTCATTTCTAACCTGTTACAGTAGTGCACACATAAGCGTCCGTCGCTATCCCTGGCAAATCTTCGAAATGGGACTTCGGAGTGGAGTTCGACTCCTGAATATGAACAACATCGGTATCCCACTCGTTGTCAGACACGTCTCCTCTCATTTCTTTAGTTAAATTCGCAGAAGTCACCTCCCGACTTAAGCGTCCGCATTCGGTCCCGACTGCGGACGCTTATGTGTGCGCTACTGTAACTGGGTTCGTTCATTGGTCAGAATCTCTTCGGAGTGTAATTAAAAATTGGAAAATGTGTTTTACAGTTAGTTTATTTTGCTTCGTGTAAG